GACAAGGAACTGAACAAAGATTATTTGAAAAAAATGCATAAACTGACCATACACTGTAGTGTAAGACATTATATGGTCTATGAAAAAAATTGCACAATGTTAAAAAAAAACATGGAAATATTGGACAGGTTTGTAAACATGATTGATTTGAAACTGATCTGCACAGACAGGTATTCATACAAAATTATTAGGGAATTTCCTTACCATTCAGTGCTACGAACGAATCTGAAAAAAGAAAAAGGAGAGGGGAGGAAAAGGAAAAGGAGGGAAAGGGAAAGAATTATTTCGAATATCATTAAATTCTCTTTCCACAGGTACTAATTTACATACATCCTTGCTACTGTTTGGTGATATTTTGACAACATCCAGTCCTGAAATCAGCCTATCAGAATGGATTTTGTCATAACTTTTTAAAAATATTTTTTACTGTACTTAAAAAAAAAGCTGGAGGGGAGGTTGTTTTTAAAGAGAAGCATAAGGATCCTGAATTAAGCAATGAATCCTGCATCTGAGGAGAACTTCTATTTGACTGCAGACAGCGGGAAAATCATTACTACTCCTCAATCTCAGACAGAAATTCCTTAGGAAGATTAGAACCAGTGCCTTATATATGTTATACACTTCTTCTTGGATCAGTACCTCAAAAGTTTTCTTCCATAATGTATCTTCTTATTTTATAAAGAGATCATTAAAATGCTAGCTTCAATGGGATTCTGTACTGAGGATTGTCACTCTTAACATTACACATTTCTGTTTTAACATTTCAATATTAAAATATTGAAATTATCCATTTTACCACAATTGCTGTATCTACAACATTCCCTTGGCATGATCAAAGTTCATTTTATGAGAAACAGCACTTGCGATGTAGCAGATCATCTAAATATAAAGGAATGCTTGTACATTAGATGGGCCATTTAGGCCTTCAAAACAAACATACTGCTTTTGATTCATCTGACAATTAGTCCTAATTACTGTAAATCATATAGTGTAATTCTGTAGTACCTAAAACTGAGATATCTCTCAACCCCAGCAAAGAGAATTCTGTTCTCAGATATTCCTTCTGTTCTGTGAGCTTTCAAAGCGCTGATGTTCCAAGAATATGCACTTTCCAATCAAGGCAGAAATACATATCAGATTGAGTTCCAATAAAGGAGAAAAAAAAATAAAGGATAGGCATAATAGAAAAACAATATATGCTGTAGTGATTAAAGATCTAAAAATCTTTAAGTGTAAGTGTAAGCCTGGAAAACCAGAACTAATTGTGAACCACAAGCAGTGTTTTTCATTGAATAAGCTGGGTTAAGTATACTAATAGTTGTAATAGGCTAACTTCTGGCTTTTATAAAACAGATATAAATATTGACAATATGTATTATAGTTCATATATTAATTTCAGAGCCTCAAATACTTGAAAAAATCAAGAAGTGCATATATATTTAAAGATAACAAACTTCAGCATGGTGATTGAGGATGGTGAAAAGAATCAAGATGGCAGCTGTAACCATGGTATCTAAACCCCACCCTTTTTATGTATGTTGTAATGTAAATAAAAAGTGTTGAGGTGATGAGGCTTGCACAGATGTGGCCATTATTTTGATATTTTTGATGCAACATTACTGAACTCAAGCCTTATTTAAAGACCTCTCATGGATTTCAGAATCAATTTGATCAATCTGTGGGTTTAAAGTGCTTAGGATTTGAATGAAAGGTTTGAGTCGCTAAGTAAATTTCTCCAAATCTTCATAGATTGGATGTTTGTTTGGAGTCAGACTAGATATATGTCAAATATATAGTGAATCATTTTTTTCTCTGTGGAGTCACACATTATGTATCTTTTTTCATTTTAATTAATTAAAATAATTAATGTTATGAAGAAAAATATTTAAAATGATATCACAATGTACTTTGAGTTATCCTTAATTGCTGCCAAAGGAATTAAGATTTGGCTGGTTTATGAAGAGGCTTGGCACAGAAGCAATAATTTAAAAGACTTTTGGCATCTAAATGTTTCTTTTGAGGTTAACGCCAATAGACCAATTTTAAGGAGGAGTTAATTTCTTCAATGCAGTTAATGAGTTTTGAATGTTAAATGCTGCTCTCCTTTTTTTTAAAAAAATCTCAAGGATATTTTATAATCAGTTTATGTTAACTGCATTTTCTTATTCTGCAACAAGATTACTGTGATCTTTTTGTGGCCTTTTAAGAAGCAGGATATTTTCAAGGGAGGTTAAAGATAGCAGAATAAAGGAAAAAATCATATTTAGAATCCTGTAAACTGGAATAGTGAAAGTACCAAGGAATCACATAATCTCTGATCTCAGTTTACCTCTTACTTAACATTCAACAGACTTTCTAACTTTGATAGTACCATCCAGATGGTTTGAACGACAACTTTGAGAATTTATCGCATAACATTGATCATACTGACTTGGATTTCTGGATGGAATTTCTTGAATTCCTTCTATGGAAGGCACTAAGATGGAGAAGTGAATGGGTTTTTTTAAGCATTTAATTAATCTCAGAGAATGCTTATGATTAGTTACAGTTGTGCTTTTCTTCTTCTTCTTCTTTTTTTTTTTTAAAAAAAATCAATTTTATTTTTTTGTAAACAGAACATCTGATCTTCTCAGACATGTACATTGGAAAACATAAAATATATATGCTTTAATCTTGTTATAAAGTCTACCGATACATGTATTAGAGGTGTGTAAATTTCAAATTTCAACTCGAGACAGCTGTTCTGACCTAATTAGAAGCATTCTAAATACTCTGCCAATCTGAACTGAAGTGTTCCCACCTTGAATTGTTCTCATCTTCATTTAAAGTAAAAACAAGCAAGCAAACAACATACAAATAACTTGAGGTTATTTGGAAGTTGGTATATTTTCGCTAAAACTGAAACAGTACTATAACACTTCTAGTAAAGTTTGATTAACGTTTAGAAGGGATGCATTTAAAATGCATTATAAATCTCTATTTATAAACTGTTTCAAAGATGTTCTTAAGAGAAATGAAGCAGCATCACATAAATTGAAATCACTTTGGAACCCAATTCTCATTTTCCATCCTTTGTACTCTAAATGTATTCCTTCAGGTGAAGATCACTGTTCTACCATTAATCTTAAGCAAACAACAGACTATTACTTAATATAGTTGCTATTTTTGTGCCTATTTTCTTTTCACCCATATTTAACCCTATTCACTTAAATATAAACCTTGGCTCACCCGCCAACTCATTCTACCAATTCACCAAGCCTAACTGGTATGCTATTTTTCTGTTGCAGTGAATGCAAAAATCAATGTAACCGCAAACACAGAAAAAGCATTGAACTCATCTCAAAATATTAAAATTACAATATAAGATAAACAGAGCTAATGTAAAACTGTACATAAAGAGAACGGCAAACTAATTTTTTCCAAGCAGAAATATAATCCAAGTCAAAATAAATCACTTATTTGTTTAAAGTAGCATTAAACAAATGTACATTTGCATTAAACATCTGTAGCTGGAATCTAACTCTGAATACATGTTTATTTCACCTTCACAGGGCTGAACCAGAATGATTAGAAGTGAACAATTCTGGCAGGAAAGGGGACTTTTTAGAATATGCAAAAAACCTCCTCCCCCCAGACATTTGTAGCTTCAATCAGAGTCAGTTGTTTTTCTGCATGAAAATTTGTTGTATTAATACATAGCCAAAGAGGTTTAAGTCTAAGAGACCCAGGGACAAAGTGCCAACACCGCCCCCCCCCCCAACTATTTCCTATTTTAGGGCCACTTTTTAAAATAATAATAATAAGGGAAATAAAAACTATTATTTTTATATTATTTTTCTTCTTTTGATGTATCAAGATTGAATGACATATAGATGTCCTTTGATTTTCCTCCAATAATCTGAAACACTTGGCGTAAGAAAGCTAACAGTTGCCAGAGAATGGTAACTTCATGCTTGACTGATTTCTCCTGCAAAAATATAGAACTGTGTTCTTTTTCACAGACAGTAATTGAGACTGATTTAATAAGAATTCTAGAGAATTCTAGAGAAGACAAAATAGTGGGGCAAAGAGGATGGCAATGATCATTTAAGATGATTATGATAATAATTAGAACAATAACATTGGTAACAACAGTAATATGGAATCAACAGCAAATGCCAGAATCTCCAGTCTTCTTAGGTTACAATAATTGTCAAAGTGAGCCTGGTGAAGTCTTTGACTTAAGACAGAAAACCTTTGCACTACAAGTATTTACACATCATTTTGCATAAAATATCATAACCCCCTCCCCAAATAATAATTTTAAAAGTGGCCAAAATATCATGAGACTCCAAATAAGAACATAAAGATCTTAATATATTTGATTGTTATTGTTGTTGTAATCATCCTCAGTATCAAAATCTGAAGGTCAGTAGATGAAATATAGGCTCATCATGGATGCCTAAATTGCTGTTTCATTGTTTAAGCTAAATCTGGTTGAATTTTGTGATTGTATTATTGTTGCCAAAAAGATAACTATATTTCAAATTAAATAGTATTGAGGTATATCATAATCAAGTTTTGAAAGAGCTCACTGTCCCCCCTATGTCATAATCTGCAAGTCAGGGATTCTGGTTTTACTCATACATAACAAATAAAGATGAAAGAATTGTGTCTGTTTGGTTAAATATGTGCTTTTCTTCCTGATGGCTTCACAACTCTGCTTTCTTGTTCAAACTTCAAAAAAAATCACCATTATTAATTCATGTTTGACACACAACTTAAGGGAAATTTTCTAATTATTCTTCAGAGCTAGTTTTTAATGACAGAATGACTGTCATTTGAACATATGGTATTTTTGTAAACCTCATTTCCTTAAATGTTTCCTTTTTTAAAACAAAGTAAAGTACCTTGCACTGTTTCCATTGTTGTATGATTTTTTAAAATAATTTCTGCCATTACTAATTCTGAGTTAGCAGCACTGAAACATTTATACAGTTTCTCTCATGTAAAATTAAAATAAATGAGTAAAATGCTTTTGCTTACTTTGGCAGTCACCCAAGCCATCAGTATTGCCATGTTCTATGTCCTGCTCAAAGGCCAATCTAAACAACAGAAAGAAATAGAGAGAAGCATGAATTAATGGACATATGTGTTCCACACACAAAATTCATAGAGATAACAAAACAAATAAAAAAGAAATTTATATTTTTAATAGTTGCACAAATGCAAGCACAAAATAATGCATTTTGCTTGACTTTTCAGTTACCTCTTTAAGAGAACATGTCTATATGAATATTTTTCTTTAAAAATATAAAATATAAACTTAAGAGTCCTGATGGACTTTCAACTCCTTCTCAAGCAACAGATGGAAGCTGTGGCCAGGAAGTCATTTACCATGCTTTGGCTGATGCACCAGTTGCAACTCCATATGGACCACTCATAGTTTGGTCATCAATTAATTAAACTATTGCAGGACATGCTGATGTGATCTTTGAAAACAACTGGTGCAAATTGGGGCAGACAGATTACTGGTAAAATAATTCACCCATCAAGAATAACTCCATTATATTCTTTATGGCTCCCCATGTAAACTTCTCCAAACAGCATGCAAATAACAAGCATGATAGAGTTAGGGTTAAGGTTAAACTTTATGCTGTTATAATTACTTGGCAAACTTGCTAAAACCTTGGCAAACTTGAACACAGCAACACTTATTTTTTAAAATCAGAGGGCATCCAAGGGTCATGCTCCGAAGAAGACAGAAAATGTTCAAGACTAGCAGGTCAGTATTAGTCTTGAGCTGGAAAAAATGAGAACAATCTGATCTGTCTCGAGAGGATCTTTTGACCTTGATGAAAAGAACCAAGCACCAAGTCAGACCTAGATCAATCCTGTGTTGAGCTAACACAGTGTTAGTTTCTTTACAACAATGCAATAGTAATAGCACTTAGTTTTATATTGCCTTTCACAGTGCTTTACAGCCCTCTCTAACCGGTTTACAGAGTCGGCATATCGCCCCCAACAATCTGGGTCCTTATTTTACTGACCCCAGAAGAATGGAAGGCTGAGTCAATCTTGAGTCAGTGAGAATTGGTCAGCAGAATTTGCCTGCAATACTGCATTCTAACCACTGCACAGCTCTTTGATGAAGATGTAATAGAAACTTTATAATTCTTATCTCAATTTAGAATGTGGCTTGTTTTGGGGAGTGTTTTTGCTTAAAAGAAACAGAATTTATTGAATCTAAAGCATTGCACAGTCCTAAGATTTATGTATCTTCATCCTTAATCAGAGAGAAGTCCACCTGAAATACCACTCTGGAACAGAGGCAATAAGAAGCATGCAATCAAGTCACTTCCTTTTTTTGTCATGCATGTTTTTGTCTATAGTTTTCAGTGAAGCTCCTAACTAGAATATTGCTCAGTATTATAACTGAAATAAATACATTCTCCCATAGCCAACACAAACTTACGTTGCTCCAGGTAGAAGCTGCATGCATGCTCCGCTTTCTTTCATCCATCCACAGTATGGGTCCCTAGAAGCTATGCAGGCCCTTAACAGAGGAAACATGTACAAATCATTCTATAAATACTTTGTTATTATTACTTCTGTGTCAGTATCAACATGTCAGTGTATGTACTGCAGAGGAAGTGATACTGAGAAATACATACTTTTTGCATTTGCCATGACGCTCACACCTTCCCAGAGGAACTCTTATCAAACAGTTTGAAAATGCTACATAGAGGGCACGGCTTTGCTTGTCCAGTTGCATGCCCATAATTCTCTTGTCCTCCACCCCATCATAGCTGCACCTAATTTGGATGAATGGGTTGAATAATCATTTCCATCAGTCTTGAAAACTTTGATTATAAAACAAATAATAAATAGAATAAAATCAGGTGCATAGACATATTTCACTTAGAGTAATATATTTGGATGATCTAATTTAAATCCTTTATTATATGATTTCATGGAGTGCACCAAAGAGATGGGAAGTAATGTAAGCTGCTGGAGAGTCACAGGTATGATTTTTCTTTCTGGTATGGTTTGAGACAACCAACGGAAGAAGGTGCTGGAGAAAGGATGGGAGGAAAGGATCTATTCCTCACCTTTTGCTCTAAAACCATCATATGATTGAGCCATATTTTGAAGAATATCCTAACTCGTAGCTGTCATAAACTGAGAAAGGGAATAGCGTTGGTTTTCATTTTTTCACATGGAAAGTAAGCTTTTATGAACCATTTTGGCATCAGTAAACAAGGAGCAAAAATATATAGTTTTATGCTTGGCCAAAATGTCTTCACCCTCATTCTAAGATGTTGTACCCCCACATCTTTACACATACACACATGCTGCCTTTCATGTGAGGCATTCAACTAGAATATATTATATATATTTAAAATAAAAAATAAAAGTATTTAATTAAATATTTTTTTAAAAAAATGGAAGTGGAGACAGCAAGTGATTGTTGAAAAATAGTATTGATGCAGAGTTAAAATTGGAGTGAAGTTCAAACAAAATCCCAAATAATTTTCTCAGGGATGAGAAAGAATCCCTTTGAATGCCTCACATTCTTCTATTTGCATCTTATCTATATACCATGTTTTCCCAAAAGTAAGACCTATTCCGAAAATAAGCCCTAGCTTGATTTTTGAGGGTGGGCCTAATATAAGCCCCACCCCAAAAATAAGCCCTAGTTTGGGGACAAGGTGCACACCTAAAAATCAAGCTGGAGCAGGGGAGGGGAGTGGAACTACCCCACATGCCCCGCACCTGCTTATCGTTGCAGCCAGGACTCCTATGAATCGACACTTGCCTCACCGGCCTACTTCTTCTGCGGCCAAAGGAAATGCCTATATATCTGAGAATGGAGCTCTGGCCTGCATTTCTGGAAAGGCCTCTGATGGCTAAATGCAGGCTGGGGAGTGTGTGGCACATGTCAATCTGGAGCTCCATTCTCAGCTGCAGAGACATTTCCTTTGGCCGCAGAAGTGGGCCAGCTGGGCGAGGCTGTTGGTGCTGCCGCCACAAGGTAAGACCATGGAAAAGACCCCCCCTGAAAATAAGATCTGGTGCCTCTTTTGGAGGGGAAAAAAATAAGACCGGGTCCTATTTTCAGGGAAACACGGTAACTGTATATAATCCTGTCTGTAGTATAATTATTTACTGTGAAGTATTGGTTTTAATCTTTTTTCATAAATCTATAGCAATATAAAAGAGAATCCTTTATTTAAAAATAAAAAATAATTGTGCTAGGGATTCTCCCCAATCAGGAAAAAAGCAATAGATAGGAATTCAGAACTAATTTGTTGCTAAGTAATGTAATAAAAGAAAGAAGCATTGATACACACTTTTCAGAGCTGTAAATGCTCATCTCCTCCAGGAAAAGGCTGTCATTTAGAAAACCACTGTTCCCTGTCCTGACTAAGAACTTCAAAATAATTCCTTTCTCTGATCCAAGGAAAACCACAGTATGGTTCTGATTCGGGCCAGCAGCATTATCTACAGCAATTTTCGTCAAGCGGTATCTGGAACGACAGCATTATAGTTTTAATCATTACAGTAGTCTCTTTTTAAAATCTATTCAGATGTAATTCTGCACTTTCATAGAGAGAAAGTCTTTTCCCAGCATAAAATCAGGTTTAGCCTGGGTCAAGATGAAGCTACCACAAGATTGATTTACTGTATGTATCTATTCGGTGCTTTACAACACATCTGAACAGTTGACAGATTATAACTTTCTCTCTCTCTGACAAAGGTGTTTTGGACCAGGCATGTGCACCTTCAATATATCAGTCAGCAGCTTCTTGATGGAGCAATGTGCAACACCTTTTTGAATCAAAATACTGCACAGCTGTATACAGAATATAGGGCATGCATATGTGCAAAGCTTGTGCTTTGCAATGTGAAAATAACGATTAACATATTTTACTGTTGTTGGATTCTTAATCAGAAAACCAGTTTCTTCAAACTGTTTAAACCCTTTCCCCACCGAGAGATATCTTTAAATAGGTAAACACTCATATACATGTGAATGTGTATGACTACAGCAATGTGTAAATCTACTTGTAAAATGAAGTTTACATATCAGCTGGTATATTTTCCAGACACCCAGTTTACAGATTCTGAAGGCTGTTGGTTTATATGATCTTGAAGGAGGAAAGTATTATTTCTTTTCTTATGCTGACAGAGGACTATTTGGATGTCAACATTACCCTCTGAACATTTGTATAAATGTTAAAGCTTCCTTAACACATCCTGAGAGACCTCAGTACATCCTGAAATCATCCCACAGAAATTTTATATCCGGCCAATGTTTCCTTCATCTACCTATTATTTTATTTAGAATTTTCTATTGGAGTCTTTTAAAATTATGATTCAAATGTAAACGCAGAAGTTAGTAATTCCTTTGAGATATGGTTTGAGGGAAACCTGGTAAAAAATTAGTAACATTCTTCTAGTCACTACAATTCTATGACAATTACCTCATGCCTATTCTAGTTCATAAAAACTTGAAATATGCCATAATTGACTACTTTAATCGCCCATCTATTTCAGCATTAGATTTCCAAATATAGTCAGTTCATTTTAGAGAGATTCTATTAAATCTCTTCAAAGGCTTTTAAATAATTTGATCATATCTATATACTTACTTCCTTTCCTTCAATACCCTGACTTTGGATTATTTTACAACAATATTTTAAATAATATTGTTCCCGGTGCTGATTTTGGGGGACAAGCACTGTCCTGTTTGCTTAATTATAATTTAATTATCATTTTTGCTTAATTATCAATTATCAGTTAAAGTCCTAGATTATTGAGAACCAGGACAGACATGCATGAGTTCTAAATTAGAGTGCAATCTCAAATTTGGGGATAGAACAGAACCCCTAGTGAAATAAATAGGAAAAAAAGTTATTTACCTAACCATAGTACGGAGAAACCATGGCTTGTTCACAACTGATGGTACTGCTTCATCCATGAGAGAATGTGTTTTGATGAAATTTAGTGTGTCATCTGGAAATTCATTGGAGGATGTGTATTTTTCAAGTGAACTGGAGCCTGCACAGGAACCTGGCCTAAATCAAAAACAGGTTGGAAGGAAATATGATTATGTTGCTTCTTATTGCAAATATTCTAGACAAGCTGTTTTTATAAGCATCTGCTATTAGCTGAGAATATGCCAGAGGCTTTGTAGAAGAAACCGAACGATACATAAGGCTTCCAAGTTGAAGCTCTCTTGTATTTCTCTTTGATCTAGTCTTTCCATGATCCTAGCTCAGCATTCAGCAGTCACTTCCATGAATATTACATTTAGGACTATTTAGTAAATATAAACATATTTAACAGAATATTAAATTTGTTAAGTTTATAGTTTGTAAAGATGTGTTCATGGTTCGTCCACCCACATGGTACACCAACAAACACACAATCTGGCAATGTTCTGTTTATTTTTAAGGCATATTTCAAATGTAAGTCTCTTAGAATTAAGAAAACTATGTTGAAAGCAGAAGAAAAATTTTACATTTTTTCCCTGGAAATGTAATATCAAGCTGCTTTAAATACACAGCTTGAAGGCTAAATGCAGTCAGCAGCAAAGAGTAAGTAACCTCTTTTCTATGGTTCCCAAGAATATTTTATTTTTGTCAGTATAAAAACTTGAGCCTTGAAAGCATTAATATATAGGGGCTTTTAATGGTAAGACACAGTGTCATCTATCTTGGATTACAGTACAAATATGCTCAGTTTATTCCTGGAATCTCCCCATATTTTATGGCAATTGGGCCAAAATAGTTATACGCTAGCAGCAAAAGAATCTGTTTTCTTTTGCTGACTGTGCCCTCCCCTTGGTTCCTTTTCCTGTACTTTTTTTCTTGTTTGCGGTAATGCTGATTGTCCACACTTTGAACTGAGGGGGTGAGGAAATCCCTGCAAATCAACATCAAGCTGAGTAATTACACGTACGTGTGAATTAAATATAAAAACTCTATCTTCTTTGTAAATTATAAGTGTGATTGCGGTATTGGATTATAAAAGGTCTCTACCATTACACAAACAAAGTGTATATGAGAAAACTGCAGAGGTTGTCATTAGAATCAGTGAAGGGCAAAACTGAAGTGACTAAAATATAAAGAAAAATCTAAAAAGAAAGAAGGTGAAACAAAAATGAGCAATTCTTTTCTGTAGGTTAAGATCAAAAGCAACAAATCAATAATTTGTTTATGTTTGTACTATAGTGTTGCTTAGTTTTCTTTTTTTAATAATGAAAATTATTATATCAATTATAAACATATGATTAAAAATTAGAGGAAAAAAGAATCAACATCGTCTTAGCTGACAATAACAATACAAATAGATCATGTTTGCAGACAATCCTTTCTATTGCTGGAGCAATTAACTTATTGCTTCTGCCTATGAATGAGGATGACCGAGAATAACCTACACTGAGGCGCTGTCATTGTATGTCAAATTCTTACCTTGATATTTTTGTTAGGAAAATGTTGAGTTTTCCTTTTCTAAAAATAAATTATACAGATTGGTTGCTTGCTTACCATAATTTTCCTCACTTGCCTGACCAAATCCTTTACCAAGAATAAGAGGTTCTGGTTTTTGCCTTTGTATGAACCGTGCTGATTGCTTCTGCATTTGCCTCCACTTCTCAACTCTTGCATTTACACTATATATTACGTCTCCCATGAAATGAAAACCAAAGGACTTCCATCCCTGGCATTACTGTGCATGCAATAGAGAAATGTACCTGGGTTTAGGCACTCTTTCATCAGGAACTGGTGTCCATATTGAATCTGGAGATTTTTGTTCTTTGAATCTTCCAGTAAATACACTGGCAATGTCGAGAATATCATAAGCGCAGACAGCAGAGCCAGGGATGCTGCAATGTGACATTTCCAGAAATAGTTACTCATCCTGAAATTATGCATTTTTCTCTTTCTCTCTTTTTTGATCTGAGATACATACAGCACAGAAGCCTTCCTGTCATAGGCCATTCATTTCTGAATCTTGCAACCTCTTGGCATTGACAGTAAAAGGTTGCCTTATGAAGACATTTCTATTGAAACATTCAGTGGGCAGCCAATTTCTAACAATTTTCATCTTCATAAGATTAAAAAAAAAAGTAATAATTTTGATGACTCCCAAGATGTTGAGACATACTTCTGGTAACGTAAACTAAAAAAATACTGTATTATCAAGTTATAACCTCTTTGTGGAAGAAACTGGTGTTGAAAATGAACACATGCTCAGTGTGATACTGTCTGAACCTTTGGTGGTTATCTAGTTGCAATCTAGAAAGCACTCATGTATCCGAGCAGGTATATTTTGCAGAGATGCACATTGCTCAGTCACAACCTATTTGGCTGTTGAAGTTGTGGCATTCCATTTTCCTGGATGTTTCTGGTTGAATTCCTATGAACAGGGATTTGCTTAATTCAGTCAACTATAAAGAAGCAAATGCAGTTTCATCTTACTCCCAGTGCAATTTAAATTTAGACTGTTTGCATGTAACACAATAATAGCAATCATCAAATATAATTACAGTCTTATACAAACACTTCTGGAAAAGCTTTTTTGTTGATGGTTTACATGTATGAATTATTGATCTATTTTTATTGCTTACTCAGTCTGCTACATTACTTTTGTGTCTGACTTAAGCTACATGCTTCTGATCAGATAATAAGCACTATCTGGCTGTATGTTAAGTAATTTCTATTTACAAAGATGACATGATCAAATATCTAAAAAAATCCATAATTATGAATTATACTTTATAAAATGTAATAAAATGCTAGAATCAAGAAATTTACAAACATAATAATAGTAAGAACTGGCAATAGGTGGCAATAGTTCCAGATGGAAAGACAAGTTCTTTAATAGCAAGAAATTGAGGGAAAATGTCTGATATTGTTAGCAACGAAGGAATAATGTTACTAATGAAATTAACTCTGCAGGAACATTAAATCTGAAGATTGATTAAAGATGCAACAAGGAAAACATTAAAGAATGTTAAACCAAATTCCAACAAGTCTTTTCAATCCTTCTTCTACTCCTTCTCCCCTCTTTTGGGTAAATACATTTCATTTTGAACAATGATTGCCTTCCAAATAAAATATATATATTTCCTGTGTTTGGCTGTATAGCATTTCCAATTCATGGCTTAAAAATTCCCAAAGCAGCTGCTTTAATTTGATTCTCAATAGGACCTATTATGCCACGTTGCTGGCATTTCATCCCAATGCGAAATGACAAGTGATTTACCACTAACTTTGCTGTGGTCATCTCCTCTGACTTCAGGTAGCCAACATGCAGTGGTGTATGAATACACCAAAACATGCAATGAAGTGTGAGTACACTAACTCCCTCCCCCTTTCCTTCAGATATCTTGTAAGACATGGGAAAGAAATAGGTTCTACCACAGTTCTAAATTCACTTTAATTAGCTAAAGTTTTCCAGAGAATGTAAGAACAAGATATCTTGGTATTTTTCTATAAGTGAAAAGTAAGATGAGATACCAGTGCTTACACAAACTTAAGTGATAAGGGAATGCTTGTAATGCCTTTTATTACCTGATATCAGAATTACTCCTATTATTTCTTCTTATTTTTTGTTTGTACATGGTAGGAAGCAAAGGACATAGCCACATTCAAGCCATCTGTTGTGCTGGACATTGTACAAGAAAGGCATATCCATTAGAAGGAAGGAAACTCATGTCCATGAGGAAGGAGAATGATTTTCCTTGGCATGCTCTATTTCCCTGTGATTCATAAGGAGTACAATCTGCTAGAGCTTGTGCAGAAATGCATTGTTCTGCCTACAAACTCCATTTGTTTTTAATAGTGCCTGAGCAGAGGATGCTTGCAACAAATTGTGCCAGCCAGACTTGAGAATTGTTTCTATACAAAATGGTTAGAGCTGAAGCTTCAGTGACTCATGCAATTTAATTCTCACACACCAGAAACTAGCACATCTCCTTTTGTGTATGATACATGAACTCCAAATGTAGAAGCAGTTGGCTCAAGGAAAGTTCACAAAAAATCCCTTTCATATTTAAGAAAGAAAAAAAATGCACAATCACAATCATATATGACCTTGTCATTATTATCAATTATGAACCAAACTATAGTGAATGGAATGTATTATTGATCCAATTTATTGAAGATGCCATCCAAAATTAGTAACAAAATACTAGTTTTTAATGGTACAATTTTTGATATATTTCTTTCACGAAGAACAAAAAATGTATGTATTAGGACACAGCAGTTTTTAGCCATTATTTTGCTTTTTAAAACTCCAGCTTTTTCCCAGGTTATCATGATTACATTCCTTGAATAATTCAAAGATTGAAAGAAAGTTCTTTTTTTTTAAATGAAGCTTTGCTCCCAAAAGCCTGCCATTTCCAAACTAGCCTACTGATTTTGTTATAGTATATGGTCAGTTGGTTGTAATACTACAATTGTTTGATTTTGCCCATTAGCATCTCACAATACTTTATGTGAGAATACAACAGATTGGAAACCCAAGTGGCTGGATTTCCTGTATAGGATGAATAAAAAAAATCATTCATATTTTGAAGGAAATTGTTACTGTGGAGATAGATTTAGAAAGATTGAACAATTATGAAGTTGAAGTGAGAGCCTCAAAGGAAACTCTGGCTTTCTTGTGACATTTGCCCCATGCCCTTTTCAGCTGCTGCCAATGTTCAGAAAGTACGTTAAAATTAACTGTAGTAATTTAAAGGATGATTTCACAAAGAGAAGCTGGAATGGTAGAATAGATCTCATCTTATGAAAAAATGGAATCAGATTTTTTTTAGAAAGCATGTTGTTTTTATTCTGGATACCTACACATTTCACTTCATACCCTTGTCAAAGGCCCCATGCAGCCACTGACAAGCTCCACAAACTGAACATGTGTTATAGTGAAAATGCTGCACACTCCTTCAGTATATGAATGAATTTTCAGTTTTCTTTCTTATGTTTTATGCACTAGTATATCAACATTAAAAACTTCCCATGACAATTTAATTTGAGAAAGTGTTATTTGTTTAAATTTTAAGTAGTGGGAACAATTTCAAGCAAACAGTAATCTGTGATTATCTATTCTAATCAAAGCTTGGCAAACCATAGTTCCTAGAGCCTGAATATCATGTGAGATGGCTTGTGATTAATTCAAATTCGGAAGCAGATGTTATCAGCTGCCTTATATGGTGTGCAAATGATAATACATGAAACAAGGAATAAGTGAGTTCAAAATTTATGCACCCTGAGATTTAGCTACAGATTCCCTATTGACAAGCAGACAACCATGCATGTAAGCAATGCAGTGGAAGATTTTTACAAGTACTCTCAAAATATTTTAACTAAAAACAAAACAAACCCCCAGTCCAAACTGCATTAGCAATACTTTTTTCTGGCTTTTAGGGACTTTCTGAAATTTTAGAACAAGCAGAAAAGCCCATTCTCAACAATGGGAAGAAAAGGAGCTGTGCAAGTTAGTAATAAAACAGGTAGTCCTCAACCTATGACCCCAAAATTTCTGTTGTTAAGTGAGATATTTGTTTTGCTCCATTTTACAACCTTTCTTGCCACAGTTGTTAAGTGAATCACTGCAAGTGTTCAGTTAGTCACATGGTTGTTAAGTTAATCTGGCTTCCTTATTGACTTTGCTCATCTAAGAAGGCTGCAAAAGAGGATCACCTGAGGCCGGGACACTGCAACCGTCATAAATATGAGTCAGTTGCCAAGCATCTGAATTTTGATCATGTGAACGTGGGAATGCTGCAATCGTCTTAAGTGTGAAAAATGGTTATAAGTTACTTTTTTCATTGCGGTTGTAACTTTGAATGGTCACTAATTGTACTGTTGTTGTAAGTCGAGGACTACCTATAGATGATTTTTCTAAGGGCTACGAGGAAAAACGGGAAGGAATCAAAAAATCTTATGCACCGAAAGACTCCCATTTGTGTATTCCTCTCAACAAATTAGTGTAAGTTGAAAGAACACAAAATTCTTGTCTGCAGTATCAAGTTAAAGATGCTTTAGCTGATATTTTATGCGAGTTAGTATTTAATAGCCAGTTTCTCTTTATTTAAGGCAATGTTATCAAGTGGGTTGAAAACAGTCACCCTCCTCTATTAAAACCATTACCTGTTATAAGGGGTAGAAAAAGTTGCTAAGACAATGTCCCGGCCATTAACATCGGTAACGTCGGTAACTGCCTGCAGTATGTTGAAATAGAAATGCGAATCTCCAGGTACTGAACAGTTCAATCGTGCCTTCAGGAAGGACGTCCACTGCTTTTCTAGCACTCGTTGAGATCCACCCATGTCGTTCTTGCAAACCCGAGCTACTCTGGGGAAAACTACCTGCAATGCGGAAAGGGGAATAAAGAATCTGTGATATATTTTTACTAGAATTCTGCTGTTTCCTCCTTTAAAAAAAAGCAGAGTTGGCAGAACTGAGTGCTTAATTGGATCTCCAGTTTCCTATAATCTGTGACAAATAACAAACAGAACAAAATTCAGTTTTGGAACTGTGTGCTATGAAAGATAAGCTTCTGACATTTCACATCCAGCCATAAATCCTTCAGGAGATTCATTCTCGGCCCATGTAAAACTCATTTCTATGCAGGCCACTCAGCTTTCTCTTCCTACAAACAAAAGGACATTCTGTATTTGCAATCCATGTGGCCCGTACTGCCAGCCGGAGTCCCATATCCCCAGCATATTTTATTTAAAAAATATGGAAGACTCATCAAGCTTTTATTCATGCTTTCTCCTTTTTAACCTTGTAAGCCTTTTATTGTGGAAATATTCCTTAAAAGGTCTTTTCAGTAAAGGCTTTCATTGTGCTTTATTACATGGCAAGACTGAAATTTCTCCTCATTTACTTCTGTTGTTCATAGAAAGGTCTTTCAAATGCAGCTGCTCCCTTGCTTTAAAGTCAGCCTTGCAGTGATTATTTGGAGCTTTGAATTAAATCAATTTGCCATATGTTTTCCAGTTTAATGGGGGTACATTTTTTTCCCCCAAAAAAATTGTTGTCGTTCCAAACCAAAATATTTTATATTAGCTTTTCTCTAATCTGGTGCCCTTCAGATTTATAGAACTCCCGCTATCACTAGCCATCATAAGAAAGGTGTTTTATATCAAGATAACACCATGCCTCATTCCTACCAAAATTTGGCATGAACAGCAGAATCTTTCTCACAACAGTGACCTTGTTATTGTGATTTATAGCTCTCATTTCAAGGTTATTCTCCTTACCTTCCCCATACTGTGATATTCCACTGCAATTTCCCGAAAGAAGAAGTAGATATAGTTACCATAATCTACTGCATGAACAAAATATGGTTCTGAAAGAAAGACAACATGTGCTCATAAATAGAAACACTTTCATCGAATAGTAAAATCAATCTAACCTGGGCTGAATATTTTTCATCGGCTTTTGTAGCACGTATTTATTTTACAATACAGGGTGATTATAAATCAACAGGATCTAGGTATGAGGATGGTCAGTCAAATCTCTGAAAGCTATTGAAAATATCACATATATGGAAAAAGTAAATTAGCGTCATCTAGGACTGCCTGTTGGCTCAGACATAATTCCTTATCTACACAGAGAAAAAGAATGAACAATAGGGCACAAAAAAAGGCAGTGGAAGCAGGACTGACTTATAACTTCCTGCCAACTTCTCCACTGGTTTTCCTTGTAGAAAGTTAGCAGGGAACCTTGTAAATACAATGACATGACTATGGGTGACAGCAGCAGTAAAGTGGTGGAGCAGCAGTGAAACAGCCACAACTTTGCCAAATTTCAATGTCGTGGGAGCCATAGATCTCAAATTTTGGAAGCATTTTGTAAATTAGCCCATTTGGGAAGCATTGTTTCTAAAATTGTTGCTCAATGATGCACTGTTTCACCCAATTGAAGGTTACAAACAATCAAACAGACAGAAAGGTTTTAGTTGTATACAGATTCAAAAACTTCAAAATGCTGCAATTGCTTAGATATCCTTAAGAATTATGTTGTCTGTAATGAAGCAATGGATATTACATTCAAATGTAATTCTAATTTTGGCAGTGGATGGGTGACCAAATGAAGGCTAAGCCATTAAATATCCTATTTAACCATTCAGATATAGCTACCCACCTATGCACACACACACTCACAAATGAAATGGTGTTGAAATGCTTGTATGATCTGAGACCAACAACTCATATACAGCCTCTTTCAAGTTAATAGAAATAACTATAGAGAGTTCTACTGAGGAGATGAACTAATGCCAGATTCATGGGCAAGCATTTAGCTCAACGGAGTCTTTTTTAGGGTTGGGGTGGGGGATGTTAAAGCAAGTGAATCTCTGTATTGGAGGAAAGACAGGACACTTATTATTGTCCAATCTTCAGATAACTGTATGGCCCAGAATGAAGACTACAAAAGACTTTATTAGGTGCATTGTTGTGACAAATTATTAATACAAATATGACTAAAATAAAATATGAAAAGTTATTCTTGTGTGTGTGTATAGATATAGATATAGATAGTAGGCCCATAAATCAGAGATATAACTATTTCATTTGCATTTTACTCCAAAAATGGAACTCCAGTTCTCCTTATTTGCACACACAGGATTATTCTTATCAAAGAGAATTAATAACAAACTGAAGTAATAAAAACATGACTATAAAAATGCAATAATTTTTGCATTTTGCTCATAAAGAAAAAAATGGAAATAACATCATTTACAGACTGTGTCCTTTCTCTTTCTCTCTCTTTTGCATTTTTTGTCTATAAACAAAAGCCCGTTTTCACAACAACATAATGCTGCGTGGCATTCATTCATAATGCCATTGGAAAAGAATGAATGGCAACTTTTTTTTTGACAATGGGGCTATTGAGAACATACAAATTGCCTAATTCAGCGGCACTCATTCATTATTTCTTGACAATAAAATGGAGGTTCTGATATTCTATTTTTTATTGGTGTATCTCAACCCGGCAGAACAAATCCTCTACACTTCACAAACCCTAGATTGCCTAGGCCCATCAGAGGGAAGAGCTGATGGTGCCATCATTGTTCTAAAATAACTCTTTACCCATTCCTTATCGTCAATCTTTGATGAAATATCTAGCTGTTAAAAAATTAATTGGATGCTATCTATTTTGATGGCTCTTGTAATTTTGTATGAATACCTAGCAACTAAAAAAAAAATCAGTGGAACAAGTGTATTGTAAAAAAAGGCAATTCAGTATCTCTACCTGACAGAATGCATTGCTGAAATAAAGTATGGTTTCTTTGTGCTTTAAAAATCGGTTCGTTGAACAATCACTAAAGAGCGAGATTTTGAAGAAGCACAGCAAAAGTAAGTAAAATAAGACAACAAGGTCTACAGAGAATCCAACAGTGTATCCCAAAATGTCCCCCTTCTTCCTGTAGCTCTTTATTTACCTTTCAACCATTTTGAATCATGTTTGACTGTCCGCAGCGTCGGGCTGTCTCCAAGGCTCCGGTAAATGACGGCATCTATTGCAAGGAAATCTGTCACAGTGGCAGAATACAGCTTTCCCTCTTTTGGGATGGAATTGGAAATCAGCAATAGGGAAGAAGGAAAAAAAAAGAACAGCATAGTTGTATCTGCTAGGTAATCATGGAAACAGCCCATCCAAGGGGTCTTAAGGCATGAAAACTGTTCCCTCTCAGCACTCAAAAAAGAAGAAGAGTCTGAGGAAGAATCTCCCTGGGCAAAAGGACCCTCCTTGGATTATATCCCGCTTGTAGACTCCAGATATCACATGCCTGATTTAATCATAACAGTAGACTATATCAATATATGTTCCTAGTAATGCAACTAGATAATTTTAAAAGACTTTAAAATACTCTTGTATCCTTCCCCTTCAGACCTACATCTTAATTCAATTATGGAGAAGGCAACTGTATGTTAATAATTTTTTCAGGGAAAACTATGCATTTGAAAAGAAAATGAATATAATACAATGAAGCTCTGCGTAACTATGTTCTTACCTCAATTATTATTTTTAATTAAGAAGAAATTGCTGCTTCTCTATCACCTTCAGTTCTCTGGTTATTCATCCAACTCTGCCTACATTTATTTTATTTATTTTATTAGATTTGTTTGCTGCCCATCTTGCCTCAAGGTAACTATGGGCAGCTTACAACATTAAAAGCCAATACAACCACAAAAAATAAATATTTCTAATAACAGTAAAGATTACAATTAAGAAGATGAGGAGGAAGGGAACAGAATGCACATGGGGAGGGCAGTGGGGGCTTTCTCTTAATCTGTCAACCACCTCCAGCGTGATACATCCCTATTGGAGCCCCAAACCAACTGGCAGAGCCAGGTCTTAAAATCCTTAAGAAATATGTATCAGAATGGTAGGAGCAGATCTCGTCCGAAAAATTAAGCCATTCTCTTTTCTAATTCACCTATTTCACTGAGGATCTTTTAAATCAAAACTAATTTTCAGGATATGAACCTAGCAGAAGACGAATGATTTGCTTTACTGTGCTCTAAAAGCTCAAACACTTAAATTTCCTTCTGGAGTCCACCCGTAACTGCCCCACTGAATGTCACCTTCCGCTCCTCCACTTTTTATTATATAAACAGCAATGCTGTACACCAGCCTTTTCTAACTTGGTGACCTCCAGAGATGTTGACCCAAAAATCTCATCATCCGAAACAGGATGATCACTGTTGCAATCGGTAGTTCAATACATTTGTACCAGATTGAAGAAGGCTACATGAGCAGTAAGTAAATCAACTTATCAGGATTGGGAGTATAATGAAAACAGATTCAAGTTCCCACTTTAACTTTTTTGTGGCTTAATATATTTTTATGAGTCATTGCATTTTTACTTTAATGCAGCACTGGCTATCTGTATTGGTATGTGAAAAAGACCTTGGGAGACAGAGCGGAAGAGATGCTGCTTAGGCAACAGTCAAATAAGAGAGGGTATTGTCTACAGCAGCTTTAATGGATGGAGACCAGAAGAGACTCAGAGATAGTGGGAGATTTACACTTTTAGATTTACAAGATTCTGTTAATGGAGCTTTATAATAAAGTAGAATTAGTTTATCTGTATAAACATCAACCTTGAAAGTCTGAAAGTACAATTCTCCTCCATCTCCTTTACAGCCCAAGAAACTAGGGAGGGTCCCTTCTGAACTTCTTGCCCTGCCCATTATTCAACTGCAGGCTATTCTCGCTCTTTATCTGACTGCTCCCCAGGCAGAATGTCTTCATTCCATCTCCCAAGGTCTTTCCCACATGCCATTACACTACAATAGTTGCTTATGGCTTTGTGAAAAAAATAGTCTGAATAGTTAGTCAAAACTATTTCCATAATATTGCTGAATATTTTATGGCTATTTTGAGATGGGATCATAAGGGTTGATGCTAACAGAATTTCAGTAATGAGACAATTTAATCTAAAATCTATAAAGAACAAAATTCTAAAATATCATTCTATAATCAATGGCCCAAATTAACCCCTCTAACACATACTCATATTTTTAAACCACTGCAAAAAGAATTAAGAGTTAATTGCATTTCTTTGCATGTATTAAATGTATTAAATGATTAAATCCACAGTTGCCACTTCAATCTCCTCCCTTGCCTCAGCTGGTAACAAAACATCAAGAAGCTTAATCTCACCAGGTTTCTCCTTTTTTCTCCTTTCTATTTTATCCAGAAAAGAGTAGAAGCCACATATATTAGCTTGTTATCCTAACAGCTGAGATAAAGTATTGAACCTTATGAAATAATTTTCTGTCTACTCTAATTCAAAGTTACGTTAATATACTTTAGCACTGTAAGTATACAACAGAAAATGAAGTTATTTTCCAAAGTGAGAATCCTATGTTTATTTGTTTGACTATTAGCTAATTAGTTTAAGCCATGTGATACCCAATAAATGGATAATTCCACCCCATAAACATATCTCCCATAAACATATCTCCCCATAAACATATCCATAAACATATCTCCCCATAAACATATCCCCCATAAACATATCCCCCATAAACATATCTCAAGAAGGAGCTATAATTGTACTCTCTAAGCACCTCATTATAAGAGGTGCTTAGAGTATATTTTTCTCCTTTTATGTTACCTGCAAACAGTGCGACATTGGCATGCTTTGCATCATAAGGACATCTAGCCATTCCACTGAATTCATCTCCCAGAAATTCCAAAGTATCCATCTGAAAAACAAAACAGCATATTTCTTTGCAAACTAATAGGACTGGCAGAGATCTTGCATGAGAATTGTTTGAAGAGTTCTTTGTGTCAGAGAATCCACCTAAATGGCTGTGTCTAACTGACCTTGGCTATTTCAAGAAGTTAAGAAGGGTTACATTACAGTTAGTTGTTACTTGAATGTGAGATCAGGGAGCAATTTCAAGCCTGTTGGCTATATTGGGAAATTGAAAAAAAGTGGCCAAGAAAATTGCATGGATGTATCCATGAACTTATAAACAATTAAGTCAGCATGAAGGAGACTTGCTCTTTACCTATGCTGTGTAAGACAATTTTAAAGCTAAACTGCACAAACATTGAGAAAATGTTCATAGATTAGAAGTTATAGTCTCAATTTCTTGGTCAAATAACCTAGGTCCTACCAAGATAATTGGTGCTAAAGCAACATTTGCCACTATGAGTACAGTCTTCCCCTAAGCCCAAGACCAAAATATATCCAAATAATTAAAGGTACCTATCTTTTGCTAGGCTATGGGGTTTATTTTTCCTCCTATGCTCAATCATTTCAAAAACTGTTTCAATTCCAGTAAACATAATACTGAGAATATCAGATTGTTTCACCTCAGTGTAGTCAAGTGAATATTGCTGCTTTGCCAACCTCTGCTTTTCTTTCTCTCATATGCACTTTTCTAATTTGGAAAGGGGAACGGTATCCCACCTGAATTACTACTTCATACTACCACTAGTACCGTATATGCCTGGTTGAAGAACAGTGCTGTGTAGCATCCCTTTAACTTTCAGAATTTGGGTTTTTGTTAGCAGTGTGTGTGGTGGTTCCTCAAATCTAAGAGTGATTAAAAACTGGGTCTATGCAAGGCTCACAGATGTGAAACAGAACAAACTAACAAGGATCAGATAATCTATCCCATCATATATACTGAAATTAATCAAGGAGAGACAAACCCAGGCATCATGCTGCCTTAGTTTCTATCTATTTTCAATCCAATCCTGCACATGTCTGGAAATACCCTGTGGAGTCCAGAATTTAAGACGACTGATCAGCACATCTTTAGCATCTTCCTTGAGCTAGCTTGTACAAGGAGTAAAGAGGCTGGGCGAACATTCTCCTATGAACATTTTTCAAATTAATCTTGCTATTGAATTATAAGTAAGGCTGAGCAAATGTGATTATGAGAAATGATAAAGTTCTCATATGATGGTGGTAGAGGCCTGTTCATCCTTATACTGCTTGCAGGACTTATCATCAAAAACATCAACCTTATTTTTTATGGTTCTCAATCCTTCAACCTTCTTCTTCTTATTTCCCCATATAATTTACAATGAGTTTTTTTTTAAATTCTCTTTCAGAAAAATTTCTACAGAATTGGTTTGAACTAGTATCATGTGTAAATCATTCTTCTAGCTGTCAATAATTAATCTGTGAAGTATTTAAATTCTCAGCTTTAAGTGCAACCCTTGGGAAAATAATATTCTACCGAGCAGCAATAATTATACAAATAAGCATCTCAACGCAAAGCAGGTTTACAGTGGAAGCCACAGGGAAAAGTGCAAAGCCTACAGGCTTTAAGATTCAAGTGTGTTTTGATTACTCAGTGCTGACTTTTGCTTTGTATCAGTTCAGATCTACCTAGCAAATTCAATTTACTTCAACAGAGTAAAGTAAGATAAGGAATTTGAAAAACCAGTGTGGATAATAAAGCAACTAAGCATCATTAGTCTCATCTAATCAATTGTCAGTCCCATGGGTTGAGAGACCTCTTTCAAGCATTGGATGATTTGTCATCATTTGTTTCCTGTCATGTATTCTTTTCTCTCTCGACTTTCTAAATGGAATCATTTGTGTTTTTCTTAGAATGGAAACATATTTAAAGGAAAGGTAGAAGGGAAGGAGCTTTGTATAGCGTATAACATTCCAGGCCCATCTGTGTATTTACACAGGCTTTTGAGACCTGATGGTAGTGCCAAGACTTGCAGATCAAATGTTCTAATATATTAGCTTAGGTATTTCATTGGTCTTCTAAAACCTCAATGTATTACTGGGCAAACTCTCTAACAGCAAAGCAGTAGGTGAAAAATCCAGCATAATTCTATTTATAAGAGGAAATTAAATATTTGCAAAAATAATGCAAAGACTGTTAATATCCCTCACATTATCTTTCCATCTCCATCCTAAAAGACCTATGTAGAAAATAACAGTTTTCCACTAGGAGCTGCCTGAAATTTGTCTGACAAATTTATTTCAGAAAGTACTAAAATGGTTTCCTGAACTATATGGGCAAAATATACTGAACTTGAAACATTCAGTGGTCAGGTTAACTATTCAGAACTTGAAAAAATAAATAGAACAGTACTACATATTGAATATTATTATTATCCTAACTTCAAAAAAAATGACCAAAGAAGGAATGGAAGGAAGATATTTCTACAGTATACCTTTATTTGTATCTATATTTTTAACATAGGAAACAATGGAAATAAAAATAAAGTCAGGTTTCTGCCAACTTGACTACATCTTTTTTTAAAGAATAATCTTCTTGACCCATTTTTCTAGAGAATAAATGGTAAGCAGCATTCAGAATGGATTACCACCAACTTAAATTTCTAGCCTTAGTACAAAAAATAAATTTTCACTGTTTCCTATGGGCAAATAGTAAAAATATTTCTAACTTAGTATTATTGGAATACAGCCAATTCAATATGTTCAGACATCATGTTTTGAGTTAGGTTCCAAGTACTTCCCTATCCATTCTCTTTAAGTTACTCAAAGTAAAAACAAAACAGAACATCCTAAGCACCCACACATTCTCACATAGAAGAGACTTCAATATATACCCCTATGAGCAAACATTTACTAAAGGAAGGAAGGAATAATTTTTATGAGTCCACAATAAGCTAGATGGAGCCAGCTTTTTTTCCCCCTTGAGGTGAATGTGTAGTGCCTGATTATTACAATATTCAATTGCTTTGACCATCAGCTTAGATTCTAATTCCAGGCTTACCCAAGATATATTTTTGAGAGGACACAGGAGAAAATGTTAAACCACTTCTAGGAATATCCTGCACTTTTTAAGAATTTGAGGCTAACATTAATTGTACACGCATTTATGTGATTTTAGAAAAGGCAGAGCCAATGATTAAGGGAAATAGTAAACAATAATCAAGAAATATGCCATATGAACAAACTATTATTTCTTTTATCACTGTGCCTAATTTCTGCCTCTCTCCCTGGCAATTAGCATTATGTGGCCACTGAGCGCTCAGTATGTGCATTCCTTAGTAGATGAACCTGGGAGGGTTGCCCACTAAGATTCTTTTAAAACATTTTTTTTGCAAGCCATGGGGTCATATGATTACCCCATTCTGATTATAATTCTTTTCATATTCACAAGCTGAGTTCACTATTATGATGTTCAAACTTCTTACTCTATGGAGACAGGCTATAGCCTTTTCTCTAGAATCTGAAATGTTTTAAACAGTGGTTGGTTTGTTTGTTTCTTATTTCTCAAATGCTGAACTGGCTGATCTCTAGGAAGCTGATCCTGGAAACTGTCTTGATGAATCACTTGTTATAAGAGAAAGAAGAATTAATTCAAAATTTGAAAAGCTGACATTAAATAATAAATGCCGGCAACAGAAGAGAATTTTATTTGTATTCTGAGGAAGTATTATTCTCTGAAGAGGAAAGTGCCTGGATTTATTACGAACAAATTTGGATAGCTGACCAGTACTGACTTCTTCACTTTTGGACGAGCCAATTTCCTGTTGCGCTGTCCTCTCTGTTGGCTGTGTGCAAGACTGCTGTGGGCTGGGCATAAAGCCACAATTAGCCTCCTATTTCCATATGCTTGGGTTAACTGCAGATTCTTCGCTCCAGGCATCTACTTTCAAGTCTCTGAATTTTAATTAGCAGCAACCAAAGGGATAACGTGAGTGTACCAAATTGCAGTATCATGTTTTATGAGATAACCAAATATGATCTGGGTTATTCTGTATTAAATATAGGTCCCAAAAGAATTGTGAAAAAAAATTTAATTCCTTCAGCAGCAATTTTCCTTTCAGTTCAGAATCAAGCATTTTATATATTAAGTTCTATGCAAATATACTCTTTCTGCTTCAATTCTATATTGGAAGGTTCTCTCTGTGAGAGGAGACTTCATGAACCTTGCCATGCCTCAAAACTCTGCCTCAGAATGGGAGTGGTTACACTACAGCAACTTTACAAGAGGTCTGGTGTTACTTTCTCTAGTTCAGGGGTAGGCAACCTTGGCTCTTTTATGACTTTTTGGGTCAGGAATTCTGGGAGTTGAAGTCCACGAGTCATAAAAGAGCCAACGTTGCCTATCCCTGCTCTAGTTGAAGAAACAACATTCTGAGGGAGAAGAAATTTCATTGAACACAGTTTTGTACTTTTTGGCTTTTGTACCATTATAAAAACTAATGGCAAAACCTCTCCAATTACTTATGCTCTCCTATAAATGCAATGCCTACCTTATAATTCCTGCAGGAAGGACTGAAGGCATTTGTCCCACAAATAAATAACGTATCATCATCTCGTTTTAGAAGAACCTTTATAAAGTTATGACATTCATCCTGCCAAAAGGATTAAAAAAAAGGAAAAGAACTGAACTACTATTTCAGCAATTAACATCATAAAAGTTTGATACAATAAAATAAAATACACCAATTTGTTTGTTTCAGCAATTTTTCCTGCCATTTGGAAAACAAGGCAACAATGGATTTCCTCAGAGTGGCATTAAAGCAACATGGCTGTCAGGAATTTAAGGATTATACTTGTCTTTTTATACTGCTGTTTATTGGAGAAAATGTACTTTAATGACAGTCATGAATCACAAATAAGACCTTAGTATGTCTATATGTATTTATGCAATTTATACACTGGTGCGTCCTAGGCAGTTTATAGATATAAAAACAACAATAATAAATAACATATTACATTTAGTCATTAAAAGTAAGAGGAGAGGCTGTTCCAGATGAGGGAAAATACCACAGAAAATGCAGCTATTGCAGCAGGTGTAAGACACTGGAATACAGGTAGTCCTTGCTTAATGACCTGTTGCTTAGCAACCATTCAAAGTTACAAAGGACCTGCTAAAAAGTACTTATTTAATTTAGAATTGTTGATGGCTAGGCATAGACCTGAGGTTATTTGATCACATTTTGGGCACCTAGGGACTGGCTCACATTTATGGCCGTTTGCAGCATCCTATGGTCACACAGACATGATTTTTGACAAATTTCTTTTGCTGATTTCTGATATTTACTTGCAGTTTCTGTCAAAAAATATCCATTGGATGAAATGGATTTACTTAATTAGGGCAGCTTTTGCTTAATGGCTACTGTAAAATAGGCGGTAAAGTCAGTGGTCACGTGTCACAAAAAGGCATGTGGACATGCAGTGACCTACTTAATGACAGCAATTACTTAACAACAATAATTCCGGATTGAATTACGGTTATTAATCAAGGACTTTGTGTACTAGGATTAGACTATAAACATGGCTGCATTTTGCATTGTGTGAAGTTTTGTGGACGGATCAGTGTAGGCTTAAATACAGTAATCTAATCAGGAGCATGACTGATGGTTCTTGCACATCCTATCTCATGTACTGAACCATATCTGGGTAGAGTGGGAAAAAAAAAATAAAGCCCAGGAAATACATCTGATCTAAACTCATTCACAGTTAATCAAATTTTAAACTTCTAAAGATAAAGACTGTATTATATCAGTTCCTAGTAGAAAGTTAGCAGGGGTAGTAAGCTTCTTAATGCCTCTTCATTTCCCAGTAGTTGACATTTTTTGTTATAATATTTCATTACATTACAAGTAAACTATTTTTTGAAAAGTAAAACCTTCAATAAACCGTTGGGGAAAAAAACAATTATTAGCTAGGAAATAAATGGCATGATCCAATCTGCATCACAGAGAACAGTGTAGGATAACAGTCAAGGAACTGAATAAAGTGGCATCTGCCGGAGAAATGAAATTTGCCTACCTTATGTTTTCCCTTCATTCTGCATGTATCTACATCAAGCTGTCTGGATTTCCATGTCAATTTCTTCAAGGATCAAGAAAGAAATCAATTAGCGCCTGGGGTGTTTGTATTTAATTTTAGAAGGAAAACTAGCTACTGAATATAAAATTCTCAAAAACATTCCATACTTATTCTATGCTTGACTTATTCTAGCACAGAAGCCTTAGGGATGTAGAACATTTAGTTAGAATTGACTGCTATTTAGTAATCTCAAATTATGTAATATTTTCTTTACTTGTAAGGGTGTTGGTTAACAGGCAAATATTACAAATCAACACATTATCTTTGTTTTTATCTCTCATAATAGACTATATATATATATATAGTCTATTCTGAGAGATGTATGTATGTATTTGTGTGTGTGTATCAATATATGGAGAGAGAGAGAGAGAGAGAGAGAGGGGGGTATGTTTATATAAATATGTCTGCACATATGCATGTGTATGTATATACTGTATGCATATACACACCTACACAAACAGACATATGCATAAATACAAGTACAGGCATATAATTTTGTACCAGTAGAAGAGTAGAATTTATAGCTTACTGTTGTACTGTGGGCTCTATAGTGCTCTCTGAGCTTGGTGGTTTTCTTGCAGACATTTCTTTACTAAACTAGGTAACATAATCAGTGTTAAGAGGACTGTGGAGGTTACCTAATTTTTCTAGCACTGATGTTGTCTGGTTTGGTAGTGGAATGTCTGTAAGAATACGACCAAGCTCAGAAAGCATCACAGACCCCACATATAATCTTGTTCTGTTTTAACAAAAATTAAAACACACTCATATACAGTAGATCAAATATTCCCTGTTGTTGTTTGGAAGTAGTGTTTAATCAAATAAAACGTTTAAGAGAAATAAACACTATTGAGTTAGAAATGCTCTCGCATTGATTCAAAGTTGTGCACAGCAAATCATTTGAACTCATTCTGAAGGAACAAAGAAATATGACCAGAGTTATCTCTTAATTCTAAGCGGAGCCCAGTCTGACAGCTTCTGATATGAGTGCCAGAGAACACGTTTGCATGTAAAAAATATCTACATTCCCAGGTAGTGTTGGAAAGACCACAGAGCCATTGCTAATCATTATAAATGATCCCAGCTAGAAGGCCAATGATTTTACCTGTCTAAGGCATTTTCAGTAGATTTTACCTATAAAAAGACTTTCATGAAACTCTAATAACGAGTCAAAAATTTGATGCACCTAGGCAAAATTGCAACAGACTATTTGTCAATGGATCCTGAATGAGGAAAAAACAATGAAGAATTGGATTTAAAAGTACCTATCGATGGTGTTTTGCCATCTTAGTGAAGAAATTGTATACCCTTGCCAATTGTCAGTAAAAAAGAGAAGTATCTGAATTTCAGCTAAACTGAACATTTCATATACTGCTCTGATTTTCAGAAATGATATGTTTCAAGGCAAAGGATCATCAAACATTTACAATAAATCTGAATATTTATTTTACATGGTTCTTGGCTCCAAGTCCAACAAAAAATGGGGAACAGAAGTAGGAAATACACTATTCTATGCAGATTTAGCTTCTCACAAAGACATGCATTCCTAGTCAAGCAAGCAGAGCAATGTTAGAAGCTTTTTTTCCACTGTTTTATTTATGCATTTTTTATTTGGAAGCCATTGCAAAACTTTTTTTTCATTTTTACTTAGGTTGCCTTTAAAAACCACTTAGATTTTGTATACTATTCTACCTGAAATATTTCAGCCCAGCTTATTTATTGCTCTACTTGATTTTACCCCATGAAAACAATAGTTTTAAGTTACTTGCTCTTAAGGGAGAAACACTGAAAACTCGAGCTATTTATATACAGTCTGAGTAGCTTGATGTAATGCTAAACAAATGATATATAACATGCATTAAAGTTAACAGTTATATTAGGATTCTGGACAGTATTTCCACCCATATCTATAATTCAGTGATTAAGCATTTTTGCAGTTACTTTTTGATGATACTACATCATCGTTCTTTCCCCTCAGCTGTGTTATCTTACACTTTAGCTGTATCATCTGTCTTGAGTATGATGTAATAGATGTTATTAGGATACTAGAAGTGTTCAAGTGCTGAAATAAATGGAGTTTTTCAGCCCTTCCTTAACTATGACACATATACATATCCTATTAATTTTGGAATATTTAATGCAGTACTAACAGAACAAAATATTGTGGCAGCCTTCTAAGTTTTATCTTTACTCTTGAGTATCTGTAGTCTTGAGGAAGAATTATAAAAATCATAAAATTATTGCATTTATTATCTATATGTCTATATATCTATTTAATTCCTTAGAAAAATGTGACCATTAAACTATTTAAATAGAATTTGTTGAGTAACTAGTATTTACTATAATATCACAGAAGTCAGTCAAAACTGACAAGTAAAAATGTTGGAATGTGTGTGCCTCTATTGTAATGCAAAAATCGTGCTTATAATCTCAGCTAAGTTACTTACCCAAAGTACATAACAAAAATGGCAAATTTATGCACATTGCTTATATGATAACTTTGAAACTTTTAAAATGATAATTTTAAAAGCAGGTCTGGAAAACCTGAGGAGCAAGAGTATTTTTTCTTATTTATTTTCTACTTTTTTATTTTTACTTGTGAATAGCAGAAACTACTTACTTTGCTAAAATAAATCTCTTCTGTTTGTGATGAATCCATATCAACAGTATAAATATGGTCCCTGTAAACAAAGGGAAAAAAGAATGCCAAGATAAACTCAGATGGTTCATATTTCACAGGAAGAGTGCTTTGTGTTCAAATAAATCATTGTCCCTTAGCCAGGAACTAAGGATAATATCAAAGAACACTAGGCAACATATCTTATGCTTTCTTTGTGTAACAGAAGATAAACAATCAATACAAATTCAACATGAACAATTCTTTCAATATGTGCTATGAATGAACAAAAATATAAAAAGGAATTAACTGAGAAGACAGAGGTTCCCTATAATCATTTTGTATAGATAATGTTTTATATATATTTTATATATACAGAACAAGTCAACCTGAAAGACTGCAGATTGGGATACAGTATATTGTAAGATAACTGTAAGGTTTGCATAATTTGAAAAATATTTGACTCCTATAATCCTTTAACAATCTTATCATTGTTAAAAAAAATCTGCGATAGATATTCCTATTAAGAATTGTGGCTCCTAATACGAAAACACATACCTGGACAGAACATGTATTTATGGACATTTGGATCTTTAACTTAATTTTTCATTATTTTGCATTATAGTCTAGTAAGATTTAGCAGGTGGCAGATGCAAGTAATCTTGTCTAAGTCTAAAAGCTAAGCAAGTTTGGGACTGGTTAGACTTTGGATGGGAGAACAACATGAAATTCCGGGCATGTCAGCTAAACTTGAAAGTAATAAAATAAATAAGCTCATGGATAAACAATTTGCAGTTGACCCTTGAAACTCATTACCAAAGCTCATTGGAGAAGTACCATCAGACAGTATGCTAAAAGATAGCAATAGAGCCTTCACAACAATTCTTTCTACCACCATAATACAGCCATTCAACTTGTATATGTTATCGTTCCCATAATCCTAGAGATGCTTAGCTATATGATAAAAAAGAACAGCAGTACATACCAGTCCTCCCCCTGTCCCAGATAATGAAGTTGGAGGCCAAGATCAAGGCAACTTGGAGAGAGGTTAGTTAGTTGTGGAACTACAGAAGGGTGTGGAGATAAAGAAAAAGAACTGGCTACTGGAAAAAAAAATTAAGGGCGTAACTCCATCTGAAGCCCTGTAGACTTCTAAACAGAGGCTCACAGTCCTGGCTACAAGGCTAAGGAGATGCACTACAGAAGCACAGGCCAAGAAGATAATGACCTGTTCACAAAGGGTACTTCCAATTGCAAGACAACAACAGAGTAATAGCACAGTCACCAACAGCAGAAACTGAACAATACTGGAAAAACATAAGGGAGAAACAGAAGACACATAACATTATAAATGATGTGTGTTGAAGGGCATCCTTTCCTTTTTCACAAGCAGAAATATACAATAAAACATTTTGGTACAAGTAGAACTTTGAACTTTGTATCATCTCCCTGTCCCAATAAATCACATGGGTCACACAGATGTTTATTTTTCTTCAAATGCTTAAAGATCTATTCTCAAGTCTTTTGGGTGGCATTCAGTGAGCCTGAAGTGCCCAACAGTATATGCAATGCTAATGTGGTGTTGTTTTTAAACATTATTTCTCCAAGTTCAACAGAAATGTGGCTTGATTTATAATATAAACAGGGAGAAAAGCTCACAACATCTTTTTTGGTTTTTGTTTTGTTAAATGAATAGTTAAATTAGAAAATAGTTAAGTTATGAAGGTAAGACTTATTTTAATGTCAGTTGTTTGTGTTCCGCTTTTTTCTTTCTTTGAGAGTTCAGAATTAATAAATTAATAAACTTAGTTGCCACTTTCTCCTTAGAGACAAATTAAGGTCAAGGAGCACAGATATGATATTCTTCTATACCAGAGGTCCCCAACCAGGGACCGGTTCTACGGAGAGAGATTTTTCTGCTGACCAGAGGGTGCATGGTTTCATGTACTGCCTGTATCCCATGGATGGGGTTTGCTTGTTTGTGCAGACTGGTTTCTGGCATGCCACGGCCCAGTGCTGGTCCACGGACTGGGGGTTGGGGACCTCTGTTCTACACCCTCTTAAACAATGTGAAAAACAAGGGAAATATCATTTTATAAGACAGGAGACAGCATCAGTATAATCAAATCTTGAATGATTGACTATGAATTTGGAGCAAAGAATAGGAGGATGAGATTGATTAAAAAAGAATAAATCTGTAAAGAGTGGTCTTTCAAATAACATTAATTCTCCACCTACTTCTTATGCACAATAGGTCTGCTATTGAAATTGGTATCTGCTATTTTAAAATAGTGCAGTATATATAATGAAATATCTTCTATTCATACTAGCTTTTTCAAATCTATTTGGAGGAAGCAAGGTTAGTTTCTAACTAAAGCTAATTCAAAACATTTCCAGCAAGCCAAAATACAAACAACATTTTCCCACAGGGAGAAAAGGGGTTTGTTTATTAACAAAATCAGGTTTTCATAAGTTTTTCATGATTTTTCTCCCCTTTGAAAGCAGCTTTCTTTCTAAGATGCCATACCGAGAAAGGTGTGGCTGTATTTATTTTTACATTCTTTAATCTTCTGTAAAAACTGCCATTTACTTTTATGACGCGTTTAATGCTTATTATTTCCTTGACTCCATTGGAAGGACTTTGATCCAAAGTTAATACATAGCTACTCTTTTGTTTGGCTTTTATTTTACAGATGAAAAGACTATGTTATCTTTCTGCAGATTTTCATTGTAAAGCTCTGGCAAAATAGACCAGTAAGTTAAAAACAAAAACATGCATTTGAATGGCAAATTAATAAGTGATTATTTATCCCTGGCAATATCTAAAAAATGTTCCATTTACCCTCAGTTATGTTTTGTATATAGTGAGTGCCAGAAAAAAAAGAAAACGGTAAGAGTCAGCACAGCTTTGTATTTCACTCCCCTCTAACTGAGGAACCCTACCAACCTTTTCTATATCCTATACCCCTAGAACTCTTCTGATATATTCTCGCACCCCTTACAAAAGTTCAAAATAACAGCAACAAATTATGCATGTACACTATAATTTTGAAAACCCAAGTTGTCACACCCCCTGGAATATCGTCTCACACTCCCAGGGGGTACGAGCACCCCAAGTTGGGAACCCTACTATAATGACTTATGACAAATTTGCCAGTCAATTGTCAGAAAAAGGAAACTCCAGAATGATGGACCTATGTGGGCTCTGATTTCCAGATAAATAAAAAAAAAATGCTTCCATACATGTTACTTGATCCACAATTGTTCCATATAAGAACTGCCAAGTACTAAAAGAGTCTGCTAAACTGAAGATATAAATCTGTGCTGTTTTGTTTTATGCTGATTGTCTCTGTCATCCCGATCTTGCTAATTCATTTTTTTACACAAATAAACCAATTATAGCACTTCTGTTTTTCCCCACCTCCAGTTAACAGTGCCCCAGACGTTATTATGGCACACTTGTACAGGGGAATAAAATGTAAATAATGCTGCCTCTTTCTGACCCGTGGCCACAGCTATGAGCATTAAAGGCATGTTATGATTCTGGTGTGCACCTGGAAGATATGATAAATTACCAAAAGATGTAGTGGGAGAGAAAACGGCAAAACGAACACCTAAAAAATTAAGTGTATTTGTGAAAATGGCAAGAAGAAAAAAAAAATCAATCTTCTCATGTAGCTATTATAGGAAGCATTATTTAATTATTCAAATTCTGCTTGTCTTTCATGTACTATTCTCTTCAACACTTGCCTCATATCAGCAAGATGATCTAACTTTCTTATGACATTTTTTTTAGCAATAGAGTCCTAAAGTATATAAAGAGATTTCTGCCTGACCCTTGAGAGTTCAGATCACAATACTTTAGTAAAGCTAACCATCCAGGGGTCTATGCAGTTTATACTTAATGACATAAGTGCTCCAAGGATTCACTGCTACTTAGAGCAGAGGTCCCAACCCTTTTGAACGCCAGGGGCCGGTTCTGTGGAGAGAGGTTTTTCCAGTTAATGGATAATCCACTAATAGGTATCTACCTGCCTGTGAGCCAAACTGCAACATCTGCACTGGGCCAGATCAAGTAAAAAACTGGGAAGAAACAGGCCCAGGACAGGCGTGGCAAGTTTGGCTGACTTGATCTGATTGGGCAGGAGGATTAAGTTAACCCATTAGTGGATTATCCATCTCCAGTGCTGGAGAAAGACACATTTATTGGAATTTCTTTAAGCTAGTTGGAGTTTCTCCAAATGTTATACTGTACTTACAGAATTAACAATGCTCGCTTTAAGCCAGATTGTAACCCAATCTAGCATCCTAGTATATAAAGCACTGTAGGGGGTAAATGTGCATGGGATACAGCTATGGTTTTGTTGTATATGCAAACCCCAAAGCTGAGAAAGAATGCGTTGCCCTCAAAAGTAATGAACAAGGAAGGAAATAATTGAAGTTTATGTCTGTTGAAAACAAATTATGCATAAATTACCAAAGGACTAAACAGGGAAAACTGGAACTTTGTGGATGCTTGGTTCTTATCAGTTTCTGTCCAGTTAAAAAATGAGAGGGGAAAGTTTACGTAATATTCTGGGAACAGCTATAATCAGTATAATATAATCAGAGTTTTTATGGATAATAATTGAGTCACACAAACCACCTTACATTTTGATGGCGAATCAGATACTATTCTGATGCTGTTGAATTGCAAATTATATCAATGCTTATCAGTATCAATAGCTCAGCAATGGGTTCCCATTCCTGGCCTATTACTGGGTGAAACAATGACTTTCAAACATTTTGTCCAAGAAACACTTTCCATATTATGTAGTCTTGATTATCATCTCTCTGCTCCCACACACAGTTTCATTCATGAAACTGGCTGATCCTTTATGCCCTTCCCTTAAGTTGGAGTAGGGTGCTAATTAACAATGATTACATAACTTTCTGCAACTGCACTGGGTAAAAATTAATATTTAACATGATATTTATCCTCAATAGATTATCCTTCCATTCTGCAACTCCCAATAAGCTGTTAAGCAGCCTCAGGGTTTGTAACTGAATGCAAACAAACAAAAC